TTACAAGCCCAGTTTTTTTTTTTTTACTGGACTTGGAAAACTTAACAGGACACTGGAGAACCCTATTTACCATCCAAAGAAGGTGAAACCCATTTTATAAACCCCTTATGGAGACAGCTCCCTAGGTATCTTTTAAATGCCAAGGAAAGAAGACTCCTTCAGAGGTGGATCTGGGCTTGGAAACGTAGACTTGGAAAACTGTTACAGTTGTCCAAGTCTACGTTTCCAAGCCCACATTTTTTTTCTAGTTTGGAAACCTTAACAAGCACTGGAGAAACCTATGTACTATCTGAAAAACTGAAACCCATTCCGCAAACATCTTCTTGGCAAGGCTCCCTAGTTTTGTCTTAACTGCAGAACAAGGAAGGCTCCTTCAGAGGTGGATCTGGGCTTGGAAACCTTGACTCAGAAAACTGTAACAGTTTTCCAAGGCTAGTGTTTCAACCACAGTTTTTTTTTCTAGCCTTGGAAAATTTAACTCGGTACTGGAGCAGGCTATTTATCATCTGAAGAACCTGAAACACATTCCACAAACACCCTCTCCCCAAGGCTCCCTAGTTTTGTCTTAAATATCAAGCGAAGAAGGCTCCTTCTGAGGTAAATCTGGGCTTGGAAAACTAGACTTGGAAAATCGTTAACAGTTTTCTAAGTCTAGTTTTTCAAGCCCATTTTTTCCCTAGCCTTGGAAAACTTAACACAGATCTGGAGAAGGCTATCTACCATCAGAAGAACCTGAAACCAATTCCGCAAACAGCTTCTTGGCAAGGCTCCCTAGTTTTGTCTTAACTCCCGCGTGAGGAAGGCCACTTCTGAGGTGGATTTGGGCTTGTAAAAGTAGACTTGGAAAAATGTAACAGTTTTCCAAGTATAGTTTTCCAAGCTGTTTGTGTTTTTCTAGACTTGGAAACATAACACGGCACTGGAGAATCCTATTTACAATCTGAAGAACATGAAACCCATTCCGCAAGTACCTTCTCAGCAAGGCTTCAGAGTCTTGTCTTAACTCCCGAGCAAGGAAGGCTCTTTCTGAGGTGGACCTGTATTTGGAAAATTGTAACAGATTTCCAAGTCTAGTTTTCCAAGCCCAGTTTTATTTTCTAGAACTGGAAAACATTACACAGCACACCAGAGGCCTATGTACCATCTGAAGAAACTGAAACCCATTCCACGAGCACCCTCTCAGCATGGCTCCCTAGTTTTGTCGTAACTCCCAAGTGAAAGAGAGAAAGGCTTCTTCTGAGGTGGACCTGGGCTTGAAAAACTAGCCTTGGAAAACTGTAGGTTTTTAAAATATATATTTTATTGATTATGCCATTACAGTTGTTCTATTCCCCCCCTTCATTCCCCTCCACCCTGCACATCCCCTCCCCCACCATTTCCCCCTTTAGTTTATGACCACATGTCTCAAGTTCTTTAGATTCTATATTTCCCCTACTACTCTTGCCCTCCCCCTATCTCTTTTCTACCTATCATCTATGCTACATTTTCTGTACCTTCTCCTCCCGTCTCCTCCCGTCTCCTGCTCCCACTCCCCTGTTGCTAACCCTCCATGTGATCTTCATTTCTATGGTTTACTCCTGATCTAGCTGTCCTTTTAGTTTGCTTTTGTTTTAGGTGTGGTTGTCAATAACTGTGAGTTTGCTGTCCTTTCACTGTTCATATTTTTTATCTTCTTTTTCTTAGATAAGTTCCTTTAACATTTCCTATAATAAGGGCTTGGTGATGATGAACTCCTTGAACTTAATCTTATCTGAGAAGCACTTTATCTGTCCTTCCATTCTAAATGAAAGCTTTGCTGGATAGAGCAATCTTGGATGTAGGTCTTTGGATTTCATGCTTGGAATACTTCTTTCCAGCCCCTTCTTGCCTATAAGGTCTCTTTTGAGAAATCAGCTGACAGTCTGATGGGAACTACTTTGTAGGAGACTGTCCTTTTTGTTGCTGCTTCTAGAATTCTCTCCTTCATTTTAATCTTGGCTAATATAATGATGATGTGCCTTGGTGTGTTCCTTCTTGGGTCCAACTTCTTTGGGACTCTCTGAGCTTCCTGGATTTCCTGGAAGTCTATTTCCTTTGCCAGATTGGGGAGTTCTCCTTTATTATTTGTTCAAATAAGTTTTCCACTGGTGGCTGTTCCTCTTCTCCTTCTGGTACCCCTATAATTCAGATGTTGGAACATTTAAAGATGTCCTGGAGGCTCCTAAGCCTCTCCTCACTTCTTTAAATTCTCATTTCTTCATTCTTTTCTGTTTAGTCATTTCTGTCTTTCTTCTGGTCCACTCCATTGATTTCAGTCCCAGTTTTCTTCCCATTACTATTGGTTCCCCATAAATTTTCTTTCATTTAACTTAGTGGAGCCTTCATTTTTTCATCTAATTTGTGACTATAATCAACCAATTCTGTGAGCATCCTGATTACCAGTGTTTTGAACTGTGCATCCGATAGGTTGGCTATCTCTTGGTCGCTTAGAAATATTGGCTCTGGGGCTTTGAGCTGTTCTTCTGCTTGACCCATAATGTTTTGGTCTGTTTGCACCTGTTACTTATGAGGGCCAAAAGCTTAGGTGTTCACTGCGCGGGTCAGCCCAGTTGCTGGGTTGTGACTAGGAGCAGGGTCAGAGAGGAGCAATGGTGTTTGTTCCCCTCTCTATCAGATTTTGGTATCTCTGCCACTTCCCACAAGCAAATTGGGCCCTTCTGGTGCTGGTTCCTGGGTGGGTGGGCTTGTGTTCATTCTGGGACCCTGTGGGTCTCTCCAACCAACTCTCCTGTGAGGCTAGGAGCCTCTCCCAGCACCTCAACTCTGAAAGGTTTTCCAATCAGTGCTTTTAGGCTTTATTTCCCATCACTGGGGCCCTAGGTTGTGCAGTCTGTCTCACTTACCGTTTTAAACCTGCCTTGTTTCTCTACGTGCAAATGTGTGTCTGTGGTCAGCTAGCTCTGCCTTCCGAGCTTTACTGGGTTTTCCTCCCATGCCTGACCGGGTCGCCAATCATGGCCTCCTCCTGCCCAGACCCCTTTCCGCTGGCTGCTGACTCCATCTCTCTTACTGTTCTGGATGAATGGTTCGTTGTTGTCAGACCTCAGCACAGTTCAATTTTCTGTCTATTTTGGTTGTTTTTTGTTTCTAAATCTTTATTGTCTTAAATTTGGTTGTGTGAGGAGGTATAGTATTTCCACCTATGCCTCGATCTTGGCCAGAAGTCTAAAATACACTTCTAAATACCATTGCCATCAACAGTCATTGACATTCCACCAGAATCCAAAACTTTTCTTGTTGACCAGCACTAAGGTGTTATTCCCAAAATAAACAAGAGATGGCAGCAGAGAACAACACTAGGAGCTTTTTTTTTTTTTTTACATTGACTATATTGTACTGTGGAGCAAGTTTCAAAAAATATGTATCAAAGGATTGAAATTATATAAAGTATATTTCTTGTTCTCATTGCAGGTAACCTAGCCATCAGTAATTAAAGATAACTAGAAAGTCCTTATATTTAAAAATTATAAAATACACTTCTAAATAACCCACAAATTAAATTACAATTGCAGTTAAAACATAATTTAAATTGAATAATAAAAATTATACATAAAAACACTCTGGGAAAAAGTATTAATAAATCCACACATTAGGGAGAAGGCCTGAAAATACACAAACTTTGCATCATATTACAAACCCAGAATAATAAATTAAATCCAGAGAAAGTGGAAGTGTGGAAAGGTGCAAGTAGTGATGTCTGGAAGGGTATGTACTTTCTTTTTTTTCTGGTTTTTTTTTTATTTTAAATTTTATTTAGTTGTACTTCCTTTTCATCAATAATTTTTTTATTGTTATTCTATTACAATTTCCCAATTTTTCCCTTTTGCTCTCTTCCACCCATCCCACCCCACACACCCCCACCGTGTTTACAAGCACTTATAATTAATGTAGTAGCAGTTATTTCCTGTTTGGGTAAGATTTTCCATTATTTTTATTTTTCTATATATTTTAAGTAAGCGGTAAACAACAAAAAACAACAAAAAAAGGGGCTATCTCAGTTTGGGCTTAAAAAGTACTAGAGGAGAACATGGCATAATTTAAAAATAATCTAGTCTGTTGTGGTGGAAACACCAGAGGCCTTTCTTTGCTCACCCAGGCTTTTCTCCAGTTTTCACTTCTTCATGTGCAAATACAGCCAAGCAAAGAGGAAACTAAAGGTCTAGATGAGAAGTCACATAGATGAGTGGAGAAGCCCTAAGCAGCTCAGCAGGAGAGGGAGTTTGCCCCAGGGCTGCCTCACTTCAGGGCCTCTTCACAGCCCTGATGCTATGTAACTAAGAAGCAGAACTGTTGAACTGATACACAGTGTGCTGCTTCATAATTCACCTGTGACAATACTCAGCTTCTTTGTTACAGAAAACAACTCAGCCACTTTCAGGTGTACGGAGTGGAAGTTTATTTTACATGCAGGCCCAGAGGAGTCAGTTTCCAAATTCTGGGTACTGAACAAAGGGAAAGCAGTTATTTTATAGATCAGGGCAGGGGGAGGGGGGAGAGGCCTGTCCTTCAGACCCTTACTTCTGACGCAAAAGCAGGAGGCAGCTTACAGAAGCAGAAGGAACAGAGTGTTTCATAATCTCTGGTATGTAGCTGATAAGCTAGAAGGAACAAGGTGAATCACTGGGCTGTATTTCTAAAACAGCGAGTCACTCCCTATGCACAGAGCTATCAATTTCCCCCAACATCTTAACAACCCTTCTGTACTCACAGCCATTCTGTATTAAAATTGAGGTATTTGCACTGAAGTTTCCCATCTGCTCTGTGGACCCTGTCCTCAAATTTGACATGTTATTTTTATGCAAAATACTTGTACATTTTTCCATTATTTCTAAACTTATTTAGTTTTGTTTGTTTTATCTTGTCTTCCTATTTCTGAAATGTTTTTAGGCCTAAGTTACTTAAACATACTATTACCCATAACGCTACTTCTTTGAGACGTGAAATTCTCCCCGTGTGTTTTCCAGTATGCTTATTATGTCACTTGTTGTGTTTAAATGTTTGAGCCCTTGGGGACTTATTTTGTGTCTATGAATTGCATGGTCAGCATTTACTGACTTAAGTTTCCACGGAATGCAGTGCAGTCTTGACCGTATCCTCATTGGTTATGCAGCGTTTGCTGAAAGTGGGTTTCATGAGGGAAGGTACAGACAGGCCTGGAGGAAAGTTGGGGATCCCCGACCACAGTTGGGCGGAAAAAAAGTCACTTTGTCAGGCAACAGAAGGGCCATGTCCCACCCGGCTTGGGGCTCCCAGCTCCTGCGGGGCAGGGAAAATGAGCCACTGCCGTCACCAAGCCTCTGCTCACTGTAGGCTCGCTACAGGCACTCAGGAGACCCACGACAGCCAATCCCAATGGGGCAGGGAGGGCCTTCCTTCCGCCAGTCCCAAACCCAGTGGGCTCTGGCCCTCTGCTCCGCCCCTTCAGCTTATTCTGACCGCTCATTGGTGGGCAGGGCCCTGGGATCACAGCACTGATTGGCGGATTGCTCCAACGCAGTTATCCCCGCAGAAACCTCTCCGCGGGTGCCCTCACTCCTCCAGAGGTCAGGAAGCACAGGAGCTCAGAGAGGACGCTGGTCCGAGGTGGGCAGCGCAGCAGGGGAGACTGACCGGTAAGCGGGGAGCCCTGCCATGTGGAACCCTTAGCCCGAGACCTTCAAAGTCCAGCCTAACAGACCCAGATGCCCTCATCCTGAGGGGCCCCAAATCCCTTTAGCATTGAGGGGCCCACGTGCACTAACCTGGAGGACCCACATCCCCTAACCCCCAATGCTTAGACCCCCAACCTGGAGGACCCACATCCCCTAACCCCCAACGCTTAGACCCCCAAACAGCCTGAAAACCCCAGTTCCCTGCGGCTTGGGGCACCCTACCTGCAGCTCCCCCGGAAAGTCCAGATCTCCCCAAACTCAGAGACGCTAAATGCCGTTGTCCTGGAAACCGACTTAGTGGTGGGGACCCTGAAGCCCCTCGATGGGACGCCCCAAATCTCCTCAGCCGCAGGGGTCTGACCCTCCCCCCAGGCCTCAGTGTCCTCAGCCCGGAAGACGCAGGATCAAGTCCTCAGGGACCCCGAGCCTGTCAGCCTGGGAGACGGCGGTCTGCCGGGGACGCGCCTGCGTCTCTTGCAGGCCTCTCCCGATCCTTGGGTGCACCTCCGAGCCCTTCCCCGGGAAAAGCGCGTTTCCTGTCTCGTTGGGACGATAGGGCCCCTCAGACACTCGGGCAGCTGCCTTCTGCCTTCGGAGCCCTTCGCTAAGGAGGGAAGGGGGGGAACAGGCAGTGCGGCCCCGCCCTATCCAGCCCCTTCCCACGCAGCCCCCCACCTTCGCGGTCTGCTCGTTTTACTCTCCCATCCAGTCCGAGCCAGTCCTACAGGCTTCCTGGTGCTTGTTCCTCCTCCAAGCTCTTTGCTTTCAGGACAAAGGTTTTGTCTCTTCCACCACCGCAGGCTCCAGGGGGAAGACCCTGAGGACTCAGATGAAGAATGGACTCCAAGGCAGCGAGGTGAGTATGTACACAGTGGGGAGGATACCAGAGAAAGGAGGCCCGGTGGTCGTGGTGCCATTAGCTGGGACAAGGCCAGTTCGAATGAAGAAAACAGGACGGAGAAAGGGTTATGTTGAAGACATGAGTTTCTGTGCAGTTACTTTTATTACATTTTTGTCAGGAGAGGCCAATTTATTTTTTAATAAATGTAACAGATGCTTTATGAACATAGGAGGAAGCATAGATGACACTTTGTCTATTTTTTTTATCATTCTAATGAAATTAGTGGATGGCCCCAATAGAGCCTAGGCCTAATGATACCTTGAAAACATTTTACAATCATCCTGGGATTGTTCTCGGACTACTGTCATTCAGAATTCCGTATCCCTGATAAGAATCTCCAGATTCTGGAAATATTTACCCACCAAAACACCAATCTCTCATCATCTTTTAGTCAGACTTTCTTGGGTGGCCTTCAGAAGGGAACACAGTAAACACCAGAAGGTCAGTATTTCCCAAATCCTGTTGACAAGAAAATTTTCCTCATGGATAGAAAGTCAGGTAAGAGTAGGAAAAGGCAGAAAGTATCCTAGGAACTTCTGCCTTCCTCTCCTGGTCTCTTCAACACATTGTCCTTTTTAAAAGATTTTATTTATTGATTTGTTTAGAGAGAGGGGAAAGGAGGGAGAAAGTGAGGGAGAGAAACATGTGCGAGACAAACATGAATAGCTTGCCTCTTACACACCCCCAACTGGGGGGCCTGGTCTGGCTTGTGCCCAGGCATGTGCCCTGACCAGGAATGGAACTGCTGATCTTTCAGTCTACAGGCCAGTGCTCAATCCACTGAGCCACACCAGCCAGGGCTCATCATAATCTTAATGGTTAATCGCTACCATTTGTTTCATTCTCACAATGTTTCGGACTTTAAGAATTCTATGTGAATAAACTCACTTAAACTTTACAACCAGATGAGGTACGAACTATAACTGTCACCATTTATGAGGAAAGTGAGCTTTCAGAGATATAGAAATGTTTGACTATATGTCTAAGATCACAGTATCAGTGGTAGTGCAGTCTAACCCATAGTTGCTTTTCTAAACCACTTACAAACTCATTAAAACTTTCAGAGTTTGACCTTAGCTACCATGACTCAGTTTAGTGTCATCCTGCAAAGCGAAAGATCGCCGGTTTGATTCCTGGATGTAGGCCAGGTTCCTGGCTGGGGTACTTGCAAGAGACAAGTGCCAATGTTTCTCTTTCACGTTGATCTTTCTCTCCCTTTCTCCATCCCTTCCTTGCTCCCAAGAAAATAAACCAAATCTTTTTTGAAACAGACTTTCATAGTTTTCTGGTTTACATTGTCTTATCCATATGTCATTACATCATTCATCTGACTGATGATTTCAACTGATGATTTCAAGTTCTTCTCTGCTATGCTGAAGTGAGAGATGCACTAAGACCATCTGACTAAGGAAAGCGAACAATGTGTAGGCACGTTGTCTAGTGGGCGGTCCCAGAGGAACAAAAACGTAAAATGTCCAGGATCATAGCCTTCCACTCTAATCAAAGAAATTCTCCCACCCCTGAGGAGCTTCAGGTTTCGTGATTGCGGAATAACAAATAATAAAATGACTTTAGGACTTCATATAGGTTATATACTCTTCAACAGAAACTCATCCGTCTGGAACTGATTTCAAATCCCCTTACAGGGTGAAGTAACAGCTTTGTCTGAGTTCTAATGAGGCCACTCTCATCCTGTTTAGAATCATTTGTTCAGCCTGCCTGCTCTGTGTTGTGAGCTCTTTGAGAGGCTGGTCCATACCTGAGGCTTCTCAGAGGTCACAGGCCCAGAACAGGGCTCCTGAGGGCCCCTGAATGTTTGCTAAAAGAATGATTTCACAATTACAAAATAAATTAGAAGGTGATTAATGAATGCTGAAGGTAATTTCTGTGGGATTGAAATATGGAGAGAGCTGAGGGGTAAATTGATACCAGCACATCCATGCTGTATTACATAATTCACAGAATACTTTATTGAACATTATTTAATTACATGTTCACTATAATATTAAAAATTAGCATGTTATAGATACAGACACTGAAGACAACTAGCTACTGGTACAGCCTTATTTAAACAATTGGTGGGAACCAGTTAATCTAAGTACAAATAGTCTTTCCATGGTATTGAAAATTTTATTTATTGTCTAGCTATGTTTCTGCCAACTATTTATTTATTATCTTCCCAGTGTCCTTCACTCTCAGTATTATAGAGACAGTTTAAAGAAAAGAGCCATAAGGCATGGGTTCTAATCTTGGATTCATTACCCACATTGGCCCTATCCCTTCTAATATTCATACTTTTGAGGTATTTCCAAGGGTTGAAGTTTTAAAGTCATGCATGTAAAATATGATAGGCCTTAAAAAATTAAATACATGTTATCTTTTAATATGTGACTCTTATATTGAAGGCAACATCCAAGGTGCCATTAAGCAATGAATATACTTTGAAAGAATTGTCAAGAACAGCAAAATTGATGACCACAAGTGACTCAGAGGAGTCCCAGAAACCACTGCCCCCTCCTGGAGAAGCATGTGCCTTTGGAAAGCGCATTAGACAAAAATCGGGTAAGAAAAAAATAATTTGAAAACTTTAGTTCCTCTAAAGTCCTATAAAAGGGCTGATAAGTATGACCTAGGTACGTGGGGAGAACTTTGGATGAGCCTGGATTTAAGCTGAGCTAAGCTGAGGCTGAAGTTACCACTGGACCTTTGGGAAAATGCTATAAAATCTCTGAGCTCCTGAATGCTAATCTGTAAAGTGAAGATAAGGAAACATCACTCATATATTGTTTGAAAACATTAAATTGAATTTAAAACAGGTGACACATGCAAGCTGTCCAGTACATCCATGTGTGATAATAGCAACCACACTGTACTGGTGTTGTGTGCCCAGGCCTTTACTCAATGCCTAACTCATAATGTACACTCAATAAATATTCTATGAATGATTACAAGTTGGCAAGTTAAACCTGGTAATGGGAAGATCTAGAAACTAAAATTGAATCAGTCATCTGTAGTTAATGTGGAGTCTTCATCTTCTGAACCAATAGTTAACAGAGTAAGATACCAGAGTATGCAAAAGGACAGGTGATCATTTGATGGGAGGAGATTGTGTGATATATGATAAAATGGGAACTAACACTCCAGACCCCACCAACCTTGCTCACCTGGCCTTCTCCAATTCAGAACTCAAGAGAAAGGAGATGGACGTAAAGATGTACAGCCTACAAGAAAGAAAGGACCGTGTGTACCAAGAGGTCACCGAGCCCCAGGATGATGACTACCTTTGTAAGTGACCCTCACTAAGAAGCATGTTATCATTACAATAATTTCATTCATTTAGTCCTTTGGTCCTCAAATTATTCCCTTCCTGTAGTGACCTGGAGTACAGGATTGAGTCTCACTGATGTCAGTACCAGACTCCCTCTGAAGCCCTTTGTGTCTAGGAACATGTACTATACCTTCCCCAACCCCTGTTGCTCTCGCCTCCAGATTGTGAGAAGTGTCAGAACTTCTTCGTCGACAGCTGTGCTGTGCATGGGCCCCCTACGTTTGTAAAGGACAGTGCAGTGGACAAGGGGCATCCCCACCGCTCAGCCCTCACCCTGCCCCCTGGGTTGAGAATTGGGCCATCCTGCATCCCTGAGGCTGGGCTTGGAGTTTGGAATGAGGCAGCTGATTTGCCAGTGGGTCTGCACTTTGGCCCTTATGAAGGACACATCACAGAAGATGAGGAGGCAGCCAAGAGCAGATACTCCTGGCTGGTGAGAACTATTTACCTCTTCCACTGTCTTCTGGCTTCCCACATTCCTTCTGAGGCTTGGGGGGACCTCACCTCTTATGTGCTAGACGTGGAGGGGACAATGTGGTCAGCTCTGTGTACTGACTGGACTTCACATGGACACAGAGCTCCTGTTGAAGGATCAGAAGGTAAGTGGGAGCAAAGTGGTGCAGACACAAAGGAGTGGCTCCTCCCTTGTGGGGCTCCTGCTCTGATTGGACAGGTAGACTCGGCTGTGTAGGTGATGAGTAGGAAAAATATCATGTGGTCACAATTGCCAGTGGAATCCCCATGCAGGCGGAAAGAGTTTTGGTGACAGTAGCATAAAATAATTCTGACTATTACCTCCCCACAAAAAAAAGTAAAAGCTCTGCAACTTTTTTTCTGAAACACAGATCGCCAGAGGGAGAAACTGCTATGAGTATGTGGATGGAAAGGACAGGTCCTGGGCCAACTGGATGAGGTGAGGTCAATTGGATGTCAGAGGGGACGCTCATCCCCCACAAGCCCATATATCTGTCTCTCTCATCATGCCTCCCTCAGTGGTCTCCCTCAATCCTTTTTCTGTCTTTTTCTCCATACAGTGTTCTTTCATTTCAGAGGACATTTAGAAAAAAAGTGTAACATATGTCCTCAAACTATAAAGCTCTCTACTGTATACAATTTGGGCACTGGAAAGGACCTGAAGAGCCTAGACTCACCAGGGACACTGGATTACAATTTAATTTATCAAATGGACATTAACTAAGCACTTACTATATTCCAGTTTAGCTGAAGGAATACATTACTTAAACAGATCACATAACCCACGTCCTTAGGGAGGACTTCTCACAGACAGACAAAACAATTGCTTTTAGAAACATTTAACTATAATTTCCAAGAAGTACACAGTGTCAAGATAGCAGAAACCAAGAGTGGCCTAAGCCTGTGAGGGCAGCAAACCATCCCAGCCTCGCTTCAAACTAGAACTGGGGTGAGGCCTGCAGAGGAAAGGTCATGGTCCACTTTCCTGAGAGGGGCTCTCTTCTATCAGGGTTAACAGAATGTGAATCAACTACTATTGTTCTGTTTTATTCTAACAAGACAAAAAGACCTCCAATTTTCTATAGTAACCTTGGGCAGGCAAGTGAATAGTACCCTACAAAAAGTGTAGGGGGATTGGAGAAAGGCCTCTCAAGAGAAAACAGATGTGGCTGAGTACTGAGTAATTAGTGAGCTAATTGAGAAGCAGAGCCCTAGATCAAGCACCAGGTTGTGTGGTATGAGACAACTTGATTTGAGAGCTTGGAGAAGCAAGAGATGACTGGATATTATGTCCAGTCATAGTGGAGGTTAAGTCTAGAAATGGGTTTTAGGAAAGAGTATTAGGCAGGATAAACACTGCAAGCAGGACTTGGAGGTAGGAATTCACATGACATGCTGGCAGACGCTCAGACACTGACCAGAAGGTTCCCGGAGAGTACTGAGGGCAGTGGGCAACATCAGAGCCTGAGGGCCTTAAGAATCAGTGAGGAGCTGGATATGGATGTAACAGGTAGTGGGAACTCATCACTGTGGTTTTCTTTCCCTTCCTCTGCCTCAATCCCAGGTTTGTGAACTGTGCCCGGGATCATGAAGAGCAGAACCTGGTGGCCTTTCAGTATCACAGGCAGATTTTCTACCGAACCTGCCGGGTCATCAGACCAGGATGTGAGCTGCTGGTCTGGTTCGGGGATGAGTATGGCCAGGAGCTGGGCAGCAAGTGGGGCAGCAAGTGGAAGAGAGAGCTCATGGCCAGAAGAGGTGGGTACCACTGTTCTTCAAAACAGAAAGAAAAGAGAGTTCTCCATAGAAATATTCATGACCCAACACTTAAGTAGAATAAAATCTACTCTAAAGTCAGTAAAGTTTCAACTCAGATGCTTCAGAAATTCACAATTCATTCCTATGCCTTTGACTCTTAGGCAAAAATTTTATATTTTTATTTTTTAAATATTTCATGAACAGAATACACAACCACATAAAGTGCTGAAAGACTGAGAGGCAAAACAAAAACTTTCAAGCGCTAACTAGTTCTCTTATCAAGGCAGTTTTTCTGACACTTTCATAGCTGTTTCTTCTTAATTTTCCTCCATACTTCTAAATAAAATACTTTTGTTTGTAGGCATTGTTTATTTTTTAAAGATTTTGCCCCGGCTGGTATGGCTCAGAGGATTGAGCACCGGCCTGTGAACCAGAGAGTTGTCAGTTTGATTCCCAGCTGGGAGCACATGCCCCGGTTTTGGGCCAGGTCCCCAGTACGGGCATGTGAGGTTTCTCTGCCTCTCCCTCCCTCCTTTCCCATTTTTCTGAAAATAAATAAATACATAATTCAAATCTTTTAAAACAAAATTGTATTTATTTTTATAGAGTGAGGAAAGCAAGGAAGAAAAAAGTCAGTGTATAAGAGAAACATTAATTGGTTGTGTCTGGCACACACCCAACTGGCCCACAATCCTGGCATGTGCCCTGACTAGGAATCAAACTTGTAACCTTTCAGTTTCTTTTTTTTTTATTGATTATGCTGTTACAGTTGTTCTATTCCCCCCTTCTTTCCCCTCCACCCTACCCCCCATCCCCACCATTACCCCCCTTTAGTTTATGACCATGTGTCTCAAGTCCTTTAGATTCTATATTTCCCATGCTATTCTTGCCCCCCCATCTATTTTCTATCTACTGTCTATGCTACTTATTTTCTGTACATTCTCACCCCTTCTCCTCCTCCCACTCCCCTGTTGCCAACCCTCCTTGAGATCTTCATTTCTATGCTTCCACTCCTGATCTACCTGCCCTTTTAGTTTGCTTTTGTTTTAGGGGTGGTTGTTAATAACTGTGAGTTTCCTGTCCTTTCACTGTTCATGTTTTTTAACTTCTTTTTCTTAGATAAGTCCCTTTAACATTTCATATAAGAAGGGCTTGGTGATGATGAACTCCTTGAATTTGATCTTATCTGAGAAGCACTTTATCTGTCCTTCCATTCTAAATGAAAGTTTTGCTGGATAGAGCAATCTTGGTTGTAGGTCCTTGCCTTTCATGACTTGGAATACCTCTTTCCAGCCCCTTCTTGCCTGTAAGGTCTCTTTTGAGAAATCTGCTGACAGTCTGATGGGGACTCCTTTGTAGGTGACTGTCCCCTTAGCTCTTGCTGCTTCTAGGATTCTCTCCTTCAGTTTAATTTTGGCTAATGTAATTATGATGTGCCTTGGTGTGTTCCTTCTTGGGTCCAACTTCTTTGGTACTCTCTGAGCTTCCTGGATTTCCTGGAAGTCTATTTCCTTTGCCAGATTGGGGAAATTCTCCTTTATTATTTGTTCAAATAAGTTTTCCACTGGTGGCTGTTCCTTTCCCCCTTCTGGTACCCCTATAATTCGGATGTTGGAGCGTTTAAAGATGTCCTGGAGGTTCCTAAGACTCTCCTCATTTCTTTGAATTCTTGCTTCTTCACTCTTTTCTGTTTGGCCATTATTTGCTTTCTTCTGGTCCACTCCATTGATTTGAGTCCCAGTTTCCTTTTCCTTGCTATTGGTGTCCTGTGCAATTCCATTCATTTCAATTAGTTTCGCCTTCATATATTTGTCTAATTTGTGGGTATAATCAACCAGTTCTGTGAGGATCCTGATGACCAGTGTTTTAAACTGTGTGTCTGTGAGTTTTGCTATTTCTTCATTGCTTAGATTTATGGGATCTGGGGCTTTGAGATCTTGCGACATTTTTGGTCTGTTCTGGCCCTTTAAGTGTGAGAAGCGGAGCCTTGGACTCCCAGGTCGCTGGGTTGTGACGTTGTATGTGGGGGCGTGGTCAGAGCAGGGAAATGGTGACCCCCTCTGCTGTTTCTCACAGCTGGGTGAGGATTAGCGTCTTAGGTGGTTCACCTGGGCTGGGCCACTCAGCGTCGCTGGGTTATGACGCTGTATGTGGAGGTGGGGTCAGAGCAGGGAAATGGCGGCGCTCTCCACTGCCGCTTGCCGTGGGACTGCCGGGCCCTGGTCCAACCGCCCACTCCCTCGCCTGTCCGCCCGCACACAAATGCGCGACCACAGTCAACACGCAGCACCGCTCCCCCGCTGTTCTCCCCGCGGTCACTCGCCTGATGGCTCGCTCGGTCGCTCACTAGGTCCAACCCTGCGCCTGGATTCCGAGCGTCTGGATTCCGCGCCTGAGTCCGGCTGACCGGGTCCTCCTGTGCAGTCCCGCTTCACCAGCCGCTGGTTTCGCCCCTTACTGGTCAGGCTGAAGAATCTGTTGTTAATGGACTTCCGAAAAGTTCAATTTTCCGTGTTCTGGGTGTGTTTTCTGTTGCTAATATTTAGTTGTCTCTAAACTTGGTTGTGTGAGAAGGCACGGCACATCCACCTATGCCTCCATCTTGGCGGAAGTCCTTTCAGTTTTCAAACAACACCCAACCCATCAAGCCACACCATTCAGGCAGGGCGCATTCATTCATTATTTCAGTGAATTGTCATGTAAGGTCCTACTCTGTGGAGCACAGCATCCTGGGACCTAGAAATACAGATTAACATGAGGATCAGAATCACTGCTCTTGAGGAGCTGACGAGTGAAGGAAAGAAACCCAGACGCATGTACAAAACACTACACAGCAGTTAGTGCCTTGGAGAAAACTAATCCAGGACAAGTGCCTGGGCATCAGTGTGAGGGGAGGTGCAGTGTGGCAGGTGGACCAGGAAGGGCTATCAGGAGACATTTACAAAATTACCTGGGGGCAAAGGATCCCAGGCAGAGGGAGCAGCTAGTGCAGGGAAGAAAAGAGGTGTGGCGCTGAATTTGCTGAGGGTCACTCAGGTCTGGTCTCAGTGTAGAGGCTAAGAATGGAGATCAGACACATGCTTAGCAGACCAGAAATGCAGTGTCAGTGATCTGAGTTGAGACACTGGGGACTTTCCTGAGTGAAAGTGTGCGGTTGTCAGCTGTAGACTGGTGTGTTCTCTATTCTGATTATGCTCTGTTAATTTTTAGAAAATAAACTCCAGTGAGGAATCCCCTCATATTAATTACTTCATCTCCAAGTGAGAGAGCATGGTAGATTGGCCAGAGGAACAGGAGTCAGGTGTGTAAGATGTGTGGTTGGAGAAATATTTTGAAACAGGACTTCTCAGTGTATTTGAAATGGGCTAATGCTGAATAAAATAAATATCTGTTGTGAGGCTTGAGGAAGGACTTTTTTTTTAGATGTTATTTATTGATTTTAAGAGGGAGAGAAGGAAACATCAATGGGTGATTGCCTCTCACATGCCCCCTACTGGGGACCTGGCCCACAACCCAGGCACGTGCTGACTGGGAATCAAACCTGTGACCCCTTGCAGGGTTGGCACTCAACCCACTGAGCCGTACGAGCAAGGGCAGGAAGAACATCTTATTTTACTGTTTCGGAAACCAGAGAGAATCATTTCCTAGTCAGGGCCTGTGGTTTTCCTCTTTAACATGACTTAGAAGGTGCCTACAGATGGGAAAGGTCACTGCACTTCCATCCACACAGGGAGTGAAATGGCCTCTCATGCTACTCGAAACTCCCTATTCTGAGCAATATTAATAAAGACCCCTGATGTGGGCTTTCTGGATTTCTGAAGAAGATGATGCACTGCATAAAAATTAAAAGGAAAATAGTCAGTGAGTGGATACTATGGGAGACAGAGTTTGTGTTATTACCACAGTAAGAAGGATTCATGGGCAGGTCTTACCAGGAAACTAATCATATGGCCCAGGCATTCTTGTCAACATCTGCCCTGACCAAACCTTTCTCTTTCAGCAGAACCAAAGCCAGAAGTGCACCCATGTCCCTCCTGCTCTCTGGCCTTCTCCAGTCAGAAATTCCTCAGCCAACACATGAAATTCAATCATCCCTCTCGGATTTTCCTGGGAACATCTGCAAGAAAACAGCTCCTAGCAGAGGAACCCTGTCCAAAGGATCGGAATCAGCAGCAGCAACATACTAGTACGCACAGCTGGAATGATAAAGCTGAAGGTCAAGAGGTCAATGAAAGGTCCAAGCCTTTGCCTAAAAGGATCAGTCAGAAGAGAATCTCAAGACCCTTTTTCCAACCTTCCAAAGAAGGAATGAGGAGATCTAGTGACCATGAGAGAATGATGGAGGAGGAGCCCCGCAGAGGCCAGGAAGAGAGTCCAGAGGACACAGGCAAGTTCTTTGTGAAATTAGCAATGTCAACAGATACAACAATTCAGCATGGAAGGAGTTGGCAAGGCTTAAATGATGGGTCACACGTCATCACACATCAGGGGACACACTCAGGAGAGAAGCGCTATGTCTGCAGCGAGTGTGGGCGAGGCTTTATTTGGAAATCAGTTCTCATTGCACACCAGAGGATACACTCGGGGGAGAAGCCCTATGTCTGCAGGGAGTGTGGACGAGGCTTTACCTGGAAATCAGTTCTCATTGCACACCAGAGGACACACTCAGGAGAGAAGCCCTATGTCTGCAGGGAGTGCGGGCGAGGCTTTACACAGAAGTCAGTTCTCACTGCACACCAAAGGACACACTCAGGAGAGAAGCCCTATGTCTGCAGGGAGTGTGGGCGAGGCTTTATACAGAAGTCAATTCTCATTACACACCAGAGGACACACTCAGGAGAGAAGCCTTTTGTTTGCAGCGAGTGTTGGCGAGCATTTACACAGCGGTCAAATCTCCTCAGACACCAGAGGACACACTCAGGGAAGAAACCCTTTGTTTGCAGGGAGTGTGGGCAAGGTTTTACAGAGAAGTCAGTTCTCATCACACACCAGAGGACACACTCAGGGGAGAAGCCCCATGTTTGCAGGAAGTGTGGGCAAGGCTTTACACCGCAGCCACATCTCATCACACACCAGAGGACACACTCAGGGCAGAAGCCCTATGTTTGCAGAGAGTGTGGGGGTCTTTACACAGCGGTCACATCTCCTCAGACACCAGGAGACACACTCAGGGGAGAAGCCCTATGTTTGCAGGGAGTGAGGGAGAGGCTTTACATGCAAGACAATTCTTGTTAGGCACCAGACAGTACATTCAGGGAAGAAGACCTATGTTTGCAGGGAGTGTGGGAGAGGCTTTACCTGGAAGTCAGTTCTCATCCGACACCACTGGACACACTCTGGGGAGAAGCCCCATGTTTGCAGGTGAAGTGAGTGGGTCATTAGCATTAAGTCACATATCGATAGTCATAGGAAGTCCACAGCCCCTTACTCTCCCCAAGATTGTAATTACTATAGAAATAACTGGTTAAACAAATCCTCCAGTTTGATTACAAGAGACAAAATGGACAGACAGTTCCATAGTGATATGGGGATGTCAGCACCAAACTCGTTACTGTTTTTTTTGACCTATTGTCAAACTTTTTGTCTCTATACACATCTCTCATTTTCCCCATCATTTTCCCCATTTTCCTAAAGAGCCACAAAGAACTCATTCCCTCAGTCACGGAAATTCAACTCCTGTAAATGTGTAAATGTGGAATCAGTGTACTTCTGTTACTCCCCAAAGAGAGGGATTTGAGACAGACACCCGGGAAGGGAATTCCCCAGACTCTTGGAAAGGGCCTTTTCTCCTAATCAGTTCCCTACCCCTCCTCCCTTGGCTTCTCTTGTCTCTTCTGGTTTCCTACAACGTCTGGAGCCTCAGAGGTGAATGGCAGGGAGAGATGGGTGCTTGTGCATAGACGTGAGCCGCTCAGTCTGGGCACCTGGTCTTCCTCACTCTCCTTGCTGCCCCTTCAGGGTCAGCATTTGCTGGTGCACAGCGTACAGATTCCACATCAGTCCATAGTGGGTGTGAGTCTCAGCTCTGTCTTCTCCAGCTGTGTGACCTGAGGCAAGAGTCTCAACTTCTCTCTGCCTGCTTCCTAGTCTGTGTAATGGAAATGGGAACTCCAGCCTTTTGGTTTGACATTCAAAGTTGAGTCAGCACAGACAGAATCTGGCAAGAGGATGGCTGAGATTGCAAGTCCTCCTTAACAGCCTTCAATGCCCGTGTCTTCCTGGTTTTAGTGGTGGACAAAGGAAGATAAGGACAGGTTAGAGGTCTGCAGCGGAATTCAGAATTTGAGCAGACCCCACTGCTTTCCCCACATAGACTGAGCTGCCCTGAGAAGGAGGCCTGAGGTGGGGGATATGCCTCCGTCCCCATTACCACCCTCTCACTGAGCCTGGGCACCCTCAGAACCTCCTCAACACAGGCAGGTGCTACTGAGAGTGACCTGTGAAACAAGACCCTAGTGCACCCCTGGCAGAGAACTGACGGGGAGCAGCACCTGCCTGCACTGGTGTGATAGGGTAGATGGTGAGCCAAGGCAGGGAGGATGAGGAAGATATGTCTCACATGACGTAAGAAGGCTAAACTAATTGAAATGAAGGTTAATACACAGGAAACCAATAGTGATGGAAAGGAAACTGGGACTCAAATCAAAGGAGTGGACCAGAAGGAGGAGAAAAATGACCAAACAGAAAAGGATGAAGAAACGAGTTCAGAAAAAGGAGGAGAGGCTTAGGAACCTTCAGGACATCTTTAAATGCTCCAACATCTGAATTATAGGGTACCAGAAGGAGAAGAGGAACAGCCACCAGTGGAAAACTTATTTGAACAAATAATAAAGGAGAACTTCCCTGGCAAAGGAATAGACTTCCAGGAAATCCAGGAAGCTCAGAGAGTCCCAAAGAAGTTGGACCCAAGGAGGAACACACTAAGGCACATCATAATTATATTAGCCAAGATTTAAATGAAGGAGAGAATCCTAGAAGCAGCAAGAGCTAAGGGGACAGTCACCTACAAAGGAGTCCCCATCAGACTGTCAGCTGATTTCTCAAAAGAGACCTTACAGGCAAGAAGGGCTGGAAAGAAGGATTCCAAACATGAAATCCAAAGACCTATGTTCAAGATTGCTCTATCCAGCTAAGCCATCATTTAGAATGGAAGGGCAGGTAAAGTGCTTCTCAGATAAGGTTAAGTTCAAGGAGTTCAAGCCCTTATATGAAATGTTAAAGGGACTTATCTAAGAAAAAGGAGGTAAAACATATGAACAGTGAAAAGACAGCAAACTCACAGTTATTAACAACCACGCCCAAAATAAAAACGAAAGCAAACTAAGCTAACAACTAGAACAGGAATAGAACCACAGAAATGGAGATCACATGGAGGATTAGCAACAGGGGAGTGGGAGAAGGAGAAAGGGGGAGAAGGTACAGAAAATAGGTAGTATAGACCATAGATAGAAAATAGATAGGGGAGAGGGTAAGAATAGTAGGGGAAATATACAATCTAAAGAACTTGAGACTCGTGGTCATAAACTAAAGGGGCGGGGAATGGTGGGGGAGGGGTGTGCAGGGTGGAGGGGAATGAAGGGGGGAATGGGACAACTGTAATAGCATAATCAATAAAATGTGTTTTTTAAATTAAAAAATAAAAAAATTTTAAAACAGCAAAAAAAATATATATAATGAACTTCATTTCCCACAGTTACCTATAAATGTAATATGATCTAGATTCAAATATCAGCAAAAAAAGTTCAATCCTCACCTGAGGACATGCTTATTGATTTCAGAGAGAAGGGAAGGGAAGGGGAAAGAGGGGGAGAGAAACATCAATGTGAGACAGAAACATCGAAGGTCTGCTTCTTGTGCATGTCCCCACTGGGGGCTAAATCCACAATCTAGGCATGTGTCCTGACTATATCTCGAACTACAACCTTTGAGTTTATGGAATTGTTATGGGAGAAACTAAGTTCTCCTTGCCAAAACAGTAAAGAATTACAGATCAGCAAATCTTAGCGAGCATGCAGAGTTTATTAGTGATACGTTCTCATGGGAGAGAATGGACCTTGCCAAGGTGGGGGTGAGAGGGGTAGATTCCGGGCAGGGCAAGGTAAGGGCAGCAACAGGCAAGGGCGGGGGTGGCAAGGGCAAGGGTGGCAAGAGCCTCAGTTCCTTGGTCCTGAGGACTTACGTAGTTGGCAGGATGGAGGTGGAGGTGAAGAAGTTACACATTGGTGGGTAAAGGTGGTGCCAGCTTCCACAGGGGACTTGACTACCCAAACTTTGGTATGTGTGGGGGGTCTCTTAGCCTGAATCCTTATCTCATTTCAGACCCCATTTGTTCATCTTGTAAAACAGAAACATGACAGGAGCCAGTTGAAGCTGGGACAGTCACTCAAAATTGTCTACAGGATCTTTTTGTAAACATTAGGGACTCCTTTATAAAACAGTGACCAGAAGTAGGCAAGTAACCAAAGTTGTCTTGTGGGCTTTTTCTTTGGGTGCTGTGGACCCCCTCCTACCTACCAACCAGACCTTGGAATTAGCACGCAGTTTCAATGGCTTTCTTTCCCAGACAGTGGGAACAATACATAGAATTTCAAGGGCTTCCCCCTCCTGTGCTGCCATGGTGTTTCTTGTGATGTTCCGAACACCTGGCACTGTTATCAGATCAGGCTCAGGACGGCTGAGTCAGTGGGTGAGACATGTCTCCCTCCTCCTCCTTGTCTGGGTTTGCTCTCTATCCTCCCTAACAGGACAATGCTCCAGCAAACTGAGCCACATTGGCCAGGGCTCAGCAAAATGTTTTAAAGTACAACAAGCTCAATTTAAGTTCACCTGTTAAAATAAGTAAGAATTAAACGGTGTATTATATTATGAAACTACTGTAAGTAAAAGAGTGGAGTCATGCCCTGTGAGTAGACAGATTGATGGAAAAGAATAGAAGATGCATTAATACATGCAGATCTGCATGGAAATTGTGTTATGTTTTGTTTTTTTTATAATTTTTTAAATTTATTGATTTATTTTTTTATTTGGAACATCTATCACTTGCCTCTCACATACTCCCAACTGGGGACCTGGCCCACAACCTGTCACAGGTGGGCACAGGTAACCAGGTTCTTGGTGATTGCAGACGAAGAATGGAACTAAATACAGAGAGTATACACAGACAGAGAGAGAGCAGATTTACTAAGCAATAGTACACTCCACAGAACGTGGGAGTGGGCTGACTCCAGAGATTGATCTCAGGGGCCGGAGGGATTCTATTCTTTTACTTTTTATTTTTTTTATTTCAATTGTTGTTCAAGTACAGTTTTCTGTCTTTTACTCCCATCCCAGCCCACCCACCCAGGGATTCTATTCTTATAGGGCGATATTTCCTGTGTAGTTTTGGCCAGGTTTTATTGCCCATGCACAAGTAATTACACTACTTTAAAGCTACTGTGCTTGTGGTCTCCCAGGATCTTCCTTGATCAAACACAAGGGAAGGGGGTCCCGCAAGGCTGATTTATTATGATGAAGTAGGGGTCATGTAGCACCTTCTGCACAGGGGCATTCATGCTTCACCATGATTCAGTGCTTTTAGAACAGGCTCTCTGTCCTGTATCAATGTCATTTATCTTAGCTCTGGAGCACCTCTGGAGTTTTCTCCTGACTCTCTCCTGCCTCAAATCCAGGCATGTGCTCTGACTGGAAATGAAACTGGCGACTTTTTGGTTGGCAGCAGATGCTCACACCACGGAGCCACACCATTCATGCTTGAGTCTTGCATGTGCCTTGACCAGGGATCAAACCTGCAACCTTGTTTCCAGTAACCCCCACCCCAAATCCTGTAGAGATATAAAAAACTTGACATGAGCCCTAGCTGGTGTAGATCAGCAGACTGAGCAGACTGGCTTGTGAACTGAACAGTCACGGTTGGATTCCCAGTCAGGCCACATGCCTGGGTTGCAGGCCAGATTCTCAGTTTGGGGCATATGAAAGGCAATTGATAGATGGATCTCTTACACACATCGACACATGGATATTTCTCTCCCTCTCTTTCTCCCTCCCCTCCCCTCTCTCTAACAATAAGTAAGTAAAATGTTTAAAAAATAAACTTAACATGAACAGCAAAATTGGATTCAACATTTAGGGATGATCCACTCACTATACCAAACGTTTCCTTCTGATCTGCACCAGGGTGTTTTCCCAACGTGAACACCAGATGGCAGAAGAGAGGCGCACTGGGAACATTTTTTCAGTGATTATATTGTACTCTAGAGCAAGTTTCAACAAAGTTCAAAAATTTGAAATTATGTAAAGTTTATGTTGGCACTTATTGAAAATAATCTATAAATCAGTAACAAAAGATTACTAAAATTTTCTTATTTTTAAAAGTGATTAAAGGCACATCTAAATAACATTGGATTCCACATTCTTAGATGATCCACTATTCCTACAACTTTTCTTGGGGACCTGCCCTGCGTTATTCCCAAATTAAACGCCAGATGGCAGCAGAGAAGCACATTGGTACTACGAAGCAAGTTTCAACAAACTTCTAAGGATTGAAATTATGTACAATAACATTTCTTGCTCTCGTTGCAGTTAATCTAGAATTCAGTAACAAAAGGTAACTGGAAAGTCCTTGTATTTAGAAGTTATGAAACCCACTCCTAGTTAACCCCTAAATAAGTCACTACTGTAGTTGGAAAATAATTTGAACTGAAAGGCACTATGTACCAAAAGCTACAAGGAGAACGTGCCGTCTTCAGTGCACGCAGTAGGAAAGGACAGAAGCTGGTGCTTCAATGGCTCTGAACCCACACAAATAACCCTGTGTAGTGAATCCAATCCAGAGAAAGTAGCAGGAAGGAAATGTGCACGTACTGATGTCTGGGAGGGGATATACTTAAAGTGGTAGCAGTTATTGTTCCTTGGAGTAGGGTTTTAATTAACTTCATTTTTCTGTATAGTTTCAGTAAGCTGCAACAAACAGAGCCATTTTCATTTTTAGAAAAAAAGTACCAGAGAAAAACATGAAATAGTTTTAGGGAATTATAAACAATTCTATATCGAATATTTGAAATAATTTAATTATAATAATCTAGACTGTTGTGGGGACACCAGAAGCCTTTTCTTTACTTATCCAGCTGCGTCTCTTGACAGTCAGCAGAGAAAAAATTCTAACCATTTAGACCAAAATGGCTCCTTTCCTCACTTGCATTTCTTCGTGTGCATTGCAGCAGTTCTGACAGAGGGAACTCCTAACCTTTTCATCTAACAGTGATGTGAGCCTGGGCCTGCCATTTACAAGCTACATTCTCTTGGACATGGAAGAAGCCTCCCAGGGTCTTTGCTTTGTCAATTGTAACATTTTTCGTTTTCGTAGCTTACAACATTTACCCCTGAAGTACCTAGACTTCAGACTCCACTTTGCCTCCCAAGAGCCTGTGAGGCTGGCCTTGGCAATGCTCACTGAACTGGGACCAGAACTCATGTGCTCCCAAAGCTGGAACACGGTCTATGTAATGTGTTCCAGTGCTCACGAGAAGTGGTCCCACAGGAATGGCTCACTTACATAGAGACCTCACACTCCTACCGCACAGAGTCTGAGCACCCTGTGCAGCTCCTCACAGACCGGCTGCAGCTGCTCCCTGCCCCCACTCACTTCGAAACCCCCCCCCCCACTCCCCCGCCCCCTGCATCCACCCACTGCTCACCTGATTTTCCATGCACTGGCCTTACCCTGGACATTTCACTTCAGCCTGACAGTTGGTTTGACACTAAGGGCCAGTTGAGTGTGGGCCTACAGACAGGGTCCCTAACCCTAAACCTAAACTTGACCTTAACCTACCATTTATTTTCTCTGGATGAAGACTGCCCTTTTGAAAGGCAGATGATGGTTCCATTCTTTTGCCCCACGATCTGTCCAGTTTCATGTTATTGTAAAATATCAACTGTTCATCCACCCTCACAATTTGTCTTGCAAACAGAAACAGAATTTTCTTATATTTTCAAAGAAAATTCAACATGGAAATGCTGTCAAGAATGGTGGTTGGTTTTTTCCCCACCTCACTGATGTGGAACCCAAACACCAGAACAATGACCGTAACCATCCTGGTGCAAACGATTTTCAACAATTGATTTGGGTACTTTGAGTGTGTGGCCTGTCTCCCACGTGGCCTCACGTGGTCTGTCCTCAGGGAACATCTGACTGGA